ATTAATGACAGAATTTTCATTTTTGGGTGAACAAACCCTTTAATGCTCTAAACATTAGATAATAGACTGATCTTTGTTCGTTACACTGATCAAATTACTTTTATTGATTTTTATTGTTAATAAATGCAATTAATTAGTGAATAATTAATTTTAGTGTACATTTAGTAATATTTAGTTTAAATGCGTAAGACACTATACTAGGGCTGGGACAATAAATCGATGCATCGCGAATAGGCATGGGCCGGTATGAGATTTTGGCGGGATGATAACCTTAAGCAAAAATTTCACGGTATTGTCGTTACAGCTCTAAAATGTGTTATATTTAAATGACTGGGTAAAAAAAAAAAAGACACTTTTTTTTCCACTGAACACAATATATTTAGTTTTTGAGCAACATACAGAATATTAGGAATTTATTTTTCTTTGATTTGTTTCACTGCACTGAAACACTGCTTTAATATGAACTATACAGAGACGAGATTAAAAGAAAATACCATGTAAACTTTTCTGAAGACAGTCAGTTCCCCTCAGAAACATATTCATATAAACCCCCAAATCAATATTGAGGATTTTCTTCCAATAGTACGTGCATCATGAACAGTGAGTGATCTGCCGGCTACAGTATTTTTCTCTGTGCGTCTGTCTTCAGCGTCTCTGGCCTGTGTTAACGGGCGTTTACAGACTTCATATTTTCACATAAATTACATTTTGGAAAACTATTGCATTGCAGCGCAGTTTGTGCAAGTCCAGAACAGAGACTTATTTTGTCTTGCAATAAGACAAAAAACGGCCGGTTGCCGATCGTGTAAGTTCCAGGGGAAGCTCCTTAAGTTCGGCCGTCATACACACACGTAACTGACCGCTCGTTCGCACCAACAGGATGAGGAGGCCCGTGTTACTCTCTACACTGCACTCAACCTGAGGGATTCCTACACTTTCAGTCTTTGAGGAGACATGAAAAACAGCACATACCGCAGGAACGGTATAACGGAAAATATTAGTGGTTTTGAAACTTAAAACGTTTTCAAATTGCGGTATACCTTGAAACTGGTAATCGGCCCATGCCTAATCGAGAAATTATTCTGCATCGATTCTGAGATTTTCCAAAGGTTTTGCGATTCTCTCTTGAATCGATTCTGAGCCTAGTTTTTAACAGCAGATGGCACTGCGTGCTTTAGAAATAGCCGTATTCTGCCTGCTTACAAGGATGTTCACAGTGGGCTGTGTTTACATTAATATGGCATCATAAAGCATAAAAGCCAGCGTTCAAGTACATTTAAACTGACATTACTCAGCCGAACGCACAAGCGCTCTTCCTAGAGCGCCATCTGCTGTTAAAAACTAAGCTCAGAATCGATTTGAGAGAGAATCACGATGCATTCTGAAAAAAAAATATAAACTGAAAATAAACTATAGTTATATGTTAAGGCTTCTGTTTGACGTCTGTGTTTGGTTATTTTTAATTTAAATAAGATACATTTTAATTATTATTATTTTTTAAATCTGTTTTATTTCAGATTGTGTCCAAGTCAACATATTTTTATTTTTGTTTAAAGTATTAAAATGACTAAAACAAAAACTAAAATAGAAATCAAGGCCTCTACATACCATACATAAAAAAACTAATATAAATGACAAAAACACGGAACAAAATTGCTTACAACTTTAATTAAAATTATAATTAAAATGGAAAATATAAAAATGAAAACTGATTCAAAATATTAATCAAAACTATAAAAGTATATAAATACCTCCACTTCAATACAGGGTTATAGTTAACTCAAATTTAAATCATTTCATTAATTAAAATGAAAAAGAAAAAGCTGGTTACCAAGGCAACATTTCTCATTTTCAATTAAATTAAAATTTGTTTTTTGTAATAAAAAATTTTTTTGTAATAAAAAAACTATATAGACACATTAGCTACCCTCGACTAAAGATTTTTCTGGTCAGCTAGTAGTCATTAATTTGAAGCATTAGTCGACTAATTACACGTTTTTAATAAACTATTGAAATCATTTTAATGAGACTTTAATTGCCTGCATAGCCTAATAAGCGCTCAAGCACACGCATAAAGCTTGCCACAGCGCACCGCAGAAGTAATGATTATGAATGTGTCAGGGAAAAACAGTAAGGTGGCTGCATTAACATTTTAATATAATTTGATAAACTAGTGCTTTTTTTGTTCTCGGTTTAAGAGATGAAGTCAGCGACACTGACTCGTCATCTCCACAGTAGTGATGTGCCTGTATGCATGTTTCATACATAATCTGAGAATATTTGTTTTCCGTTGAAATTAGAAAACATTGAAAGTAGACATTTCACTCTCTCTATATATTTTTTATGTTTGTAAGGCAAGCATACACAGAGTTTCGGAGTTTCGTGCTCAAGTTCACAGAGACCGAGACGGCAGAAAGCGCATCTTGTTTGCTTTCATTATTTTACAAAAGCGCAATGTTTTGTTGTTATTGTGAGTGCACACAACTAAACGTAGAGTCTTTACAGATTTGAAAGATGTAATGCTCTTATCTGTATGAGCAAAAATGAGGGAGTACTTTAAGAGCAAGTGAGCCATCTGCCATGCAGTGAGCGCTACTAGCTTCCACACTGTGCACACACAGACACTTGAACAATGCACATATTTCTAGATTAACATCAGATTGAGCGGCCATGTAAAATTGCTGCTACTAACATATTTAAGATGATAAGCCATGAGGTCGATGAGTGATAGGCGAGTATATATTAGTATATATTATATATTAGTATATAGTATATATTATAGTTTCATATTATTAGAGAAGACTTATTGTAACATTCAAAAACATGCATTTTCTGCAGAGCTGCTTTGAAACAATATGCATTGTAAAAAGCGCTATACAAATAAATTTGAATTGAATATATTCATGCCCCTATTTGTTGTCTCTCGGTGCAGTCGTTTCACTGTAAAACTGTCAGGAAGATGCCGTTTAACCGCATGGACCCGAGCTGTACGGTGGGTTTTTACGCCGGAAGCAGAGCGGATTTCCAGGCTCTGTGCTCAGACGTCACTAAGGTGAGAGGAAGACAAGCACATGCTATAAAACCGAAGCTTGTCTGAATATATTATGCGTCTAAAATCCTGCAATATCAGACTTTCCCTCCATCTTTCCTTTGATGGACAGGCTCTGACATCATCCGAGGAGAAGTACCCCATCTTCACGTTTGTGGAGGGTCATAATGAGGAGGAGATGAGCTGTACGTCGGACTCGTTCACTCATATAAAGTCCAAAGACAGGCCGGGCCGAATCAAAAAGAAGAACTGTTTGGAGGAGTTTGTGCTCTTGTGACGCACAGACTCTGTTTCTTGTTTGGTGCTCCAGTACTTCCTCCAGTTTCAGTCATGTGATCAAGACTGCCACACTCACTGGCATGTCAAGGAGAGCTGGACTATTTTGTGTGTATAGAACGTGGGTGAATGTAGGTGCTTTTTTACAGACTGCTGCTGTAATTTTCTTGTTTTTCTGTAGTTGTCGTGTGTAAAGGCACCATAGAGGAGGATGTGACGAGTTCGCTGAGCAGGTGGCTAAGCAGATTACATGTGTTTGGTGTGATGCTAATGACAGCAGACAGTGAGGCTCTCGGAC